GCCAACCTCTGCTGTTTTATTAAGAGCTGTACAAGCATGGTGGTTTAATAGGAGTAGCATGAGAATTTAATGCTTTAAACCAGAGCTAGAGTAAACATCATACTGTAAGGCTTACACTTGGCTTGCATTTCAGAGAACAGATAACCTAGTAGGAATGGCAGAAACTTTATTCATCTTAAATTTGGCCAATGGATGAGACTTAAAATTGATTGTCAAGAATCGGAGGAAACATATGAAGGAAATGTATGATTGGAGGAGATATATGCAGATAATTTAATATTCCTGAAAAAACACTCCATTCTTCTTACACCAAAGAGCAGAACAACCCTCAAAACACTTGCAATCTGAAGCACTGGAAATAATTTCCAGGGGACAGATACAAATCCCATTATAGTTAAAATATGACTTTAATATAGTGAAATCAGACCCAAGATTTTAAAGTGTGATGATTAGCCTGGCTGAGAGACAGAAACAAAACTAAGCTGCTTCTTCTGTATTAGAGATGAAGAATGACATAAATAATTTTCACAGGACTAGGCTGTGTCTTTTTAACCTTCCTTGCACTGAATTCCATGATGTCTATTTGTCATGGCTGTAAAACCAACCCTGAGTAACATAACAAAAGAACCTTTGTTTTAGTCTGAATTAAGCTTTGTTTTAAGACTGAGCCATTACAGAGGTCTAATCTACACTGATCAGTTAGAATGTTTAGAATGTGTTATAAAAATCTGATACCAGAGGGCGCTGTAGAGCAGTGAGCCCTCATCAATGGAAAATTGCATTCAGAGCCATATTACGGGGGTTTTAAAAAAACATTTTTACAGATCAGTGTAGATCCAGCCAGAGTCTCATGGATATTGGAGCCCACTGAAATTTAGAAAAGAAAAAAAAAAATTCAGCCTTATTTATAGTTTCTTATGACATAGTTGTTTATCGTTACTGCTAGGACACAACCAGGTGTAAAATAAATAGAGGATTCAGAATGTGCTGTTCAACTGCATTCACAACTGAACAAAACATATCATTGAGTTGAAGCTGGTTTAAGCCATTGGTCTTTCCCCTTCCTGTTCACTCACTCTGTTACTGCTGCCTCTGCCAGCACCTCTGGCTGGGCAAAATTAACAAAGTGCCCTTCAGCTGGATGCAGAGACATGACACTTCTTGACTGCAAGGGGCTGAAAAGGCAAGCCTGAACCATGGCTTGAGAGCCAGTGTGGTGTAGTGGTTAAGAGTGGTGGACTCGTAATCTGGTGAACGGGGTTCGCGTCTCTGCTCCTCCACATGCAGCTGCTGGGTGACCTTGGGCTAGTCACACTTCTCTGAAGTCTCTCAGCCCCACACACCTCACAGAGTGTTTGTTGTGGGGGAGGAAGGGAAAGGAGAATGTTAGCCGCTTTGAGACTCCCTCGGGTAGTGTTAAGCGGGATATCAAATCCAAACTCTTCTTGATATGCTGTTACGTCTACCCATTAGTTCAGCAGTGAATAACCCATAGTGATTTTCATTCTCCTAATTACTTTACATATATGCTTCTAACTATTATATACGAATACAAGCTCCATTCCGCTATATTCATGATTGCATTGTTAACTGTCTTTATAATTGCATATAGGATAATGCACACCCCTAATAGAGCCACGAGTATAGGATACTTTATTACAGTCACTTCATAGAATATATTTTGCATGTACACTTATGACAGTTCAAGTGCACACTGGAAAATGCGAAATTTAACTACGATACGCATGTGCATCATATAAGCACCTTCTCCAGGGAGTTATGATTGGCTGCTGTTCCCATTTGATTTTACATTCAGTGAAGTGACCAGAACCCCTTTCTACATTTTGTCTGTCTGTTTGTTTGTGTGTATGCATCCTATTCTTCAATTTTTAGACTATCCTTGAAGGACCACTTTGTGAACACAAAGGTGATTTGTGTAGTTTCAGGGCTCAGGAGGAACTGGAGTCAACAGCAGGAGGGAGAGAAAGCACATAATATCCCAGCAGCATTTACATGGCTCATTTACGGTTTCCTTTTGTGAAATGAATATCCAGCTCCAATTTCTGTCCAGCAAAGAAGCTGAAGCAGTAGTATTCTCATGGGAACACACATCTTAGCAAAGACAGTTATTAGAAAAGACCTTTAATATATATATATATATATATATATATATATATGAGTTGTAATTTCAGGTTTGTAAGATGCAGCATTCTGAATTACAGCCACATATTTAAAAGGAAAACTCCTGTATAGTATCTCTTTATAGTATCCCTGCATAGTACAATTTAATTTTCTATTGGATCTTATCACTTAATAAATATATTTAAGGATGGATAGGATGCTATACATTTTTTGGAAAGCTTTTTTCCTTCTTCATGGCTCCACCCCTTAAAAATAAAAGAAATCTTGACTGAGATGGGAACCCTCTGTTGTCAATTGTTTCTCTCTCTCTCTCTCTCGTGCACATACACATGCACACAGTTCAGGATTTATGGCATACACTTTCCCCCTATAACATTGATAAGGCATATAGAAGGCTGCGGGGGCTGGGGGGGGGAGAACGGGAAAAACATAAGGACTGCTCTTTTTAAAATGATTGTCAAAGGGCAGATAAGGTCTCAAGTTCCTAGTTCTCCCTCTTCTTTATAAAGAAGTTAAGCCAGTGTTTTTCAACCTTTTATTTCCTACAAACCTGACTTCTCAAATGATTTTATTTTTAAAAGACTGAAGTGTTGTGACTTTTAATTAGAGAAACCTTGCTTGAAATCAAATCATCACCCTTAGAACTGAATATAAGTGGAAGTTTTTTGTTGGATACTGTTGGCCTTTTTATTTTTAGGAGGATTCACCATTCTGAAGCAACATATAGCTATACTTCCAAAACAAAAAGTTTTCTTTCTTTTAATTTGAAAGGTCTATCCAGCTCTCAGTGGCCCTCAATCACAATAAAATTTTGCAGCAGCCACGTGTTTCAATCTAACTAGCAGGCGGAGTTATTTAGACCTCCACTTAGCATTATTTTGTACAAAATTTGTTCATGTTCTTTAAGTGTCAAACTAATAGCATAAGAGCCCTATAGCTAAGCATTTTCAGGTGATGAATATATTTGTAAGAGAAGAATTATTCTACACCATAACTTGTTTTCAGTTGACACATTCCTTCCCCCGCAGTCTCTTCTATTTTTCCATACAGTCTTTACTTCCCTTTCCACTGTATCACTGAATACTTTTCTTGCTTTCTTATTTTCCACCTTGAACTCTGTCACTGTGCGTGAGCACATAGTTCCAGTAAGGATTTTTGAAGTAAAGAAAAGTAAAACAGTTATGATTTAAAATTAGCACCTCATACTGCAAGAATGATCTTGTCAGTTTTGTTATTCAGTAAATGTGATTAATAGCAAAACTGAGAATCACATTTTGGCTTGAAAGCATCTCCCATTGGGGCTGCTTGTTAGTAACAGAGAATTCTCAATAATTTAACTACCATTCCCACCATCCTTGACCACAGGCTGCCCTTGAGAGTTATGTGCTAGAGCCAAAAATCTTAAAGAAAAACCCTAGCCTCTACCTTACATTACACACCCTTATATCCAGAAGCAGCTTGCCCCATCGGGAGGAACCACAACATTTGCTTCCTGACTGGGGTTGTTGTTGCTTACTGGGAGGGAGATGGCAGGAAGGTTCATGTAGCATTGGCACACTGAGGTAGCCAATCCACTGTGCCTGCACCACTCCAACCTTGCTACCACCTCACCTTTCCTCCTCTCGTTTCCAGTAAGTGGCAGTTACACCACTGCCAGGAATTTAGCCTTGCAGCTCCATCCCACCAGGCAAGCTGCTTCTGCTTGTGGTGGCCATTGTGGACTGTAAAGGCTTCCAGAATACCCTGCAATGGAGGCGGAGCCTAGCGCCTCACTGCACTAAGCCTTAAATCACTCCATCATGTCTGCACTTGGGTGGTGATAAGAACTACATATATTATGACAAATGTGACTGACTATCTTAACAACCCCGATTTCTGCTTGCTTATTGTGTGACACCCTGTCACAGGAGACTATATTTTTAAGCTTTTAGAGAGAACTAACATTATAGCAGCAAGAAAGTGTTAAGTATCAAAGTAATAGATGAGTGTTCCTCTAAAAGGCAATTTCACTAAATACCATTGATATTAATCTTTCTGACTGTTAATTATATTCTTTTTGACGTATCATCCCTCTATGACCTTTTCTTCAGAATTCTGGTGAATTCGTGTAACTGTAGTCATGGAAGCTCAAACATGGACTATGTTTTCATTGTGACAAAGAAGATGGGATAGTAACACCAGTTCCAGGTATGAGACAAAAAGCAACTTGCAACAATGATTAATAGTTAAAAATTTAATCAGAAAGTCCATATTTATATTTTATCTTTACCTGCTACTTTTCTTACATTCTGTTTATCTATGCCACCATATATCAAGTTTTTTTAAAAAGGATTGTCTCAAGAATGCAGACACTAAGATATTGTTGAAGAACTTAAAACTTTTTGAACTAGAAATGTCCCAGCAATGTGTAAAAACAATTAGTAATGGCAGTCCTTAATAGAAGAACCTGAACTAAGGTTGAAAAGAGTAAGGGTTGGCAGTCCCAAGATTAAAAAAGTAATGATTCTGCCACTAAACCACTTTTACACCAATCAATACTTCAAAGCATCCAGATTTTATTAGATCCACTGAATAAGCAAAATAAGGTAATGCGGGTGTTTAAGGCTTTTTAAATAGAACATTTTTATTGGGCTCTTGAGAGCCAATTCCTACATTTAAAAAAACCCAAAATCAATTTATTTTTAAGAGGAAAGTACATGAGAACAGGTTTCAAGGAAACAACGACCATCTTGGCATTTAAGCATCCTAAACAAGACAGTGTTAAATATTCAGGTTCTCTTGTAGATACTGCTTTCTAAAAAAAAATTTATTGTATTCACCAACTCTGTGCCAAACACAGAAGTGACTCAACATGGTTAGTGTATATATATGTGTGTGTGTATGTGTGTGTATACACACACACACACACACACACACATATACATACACACTACTTGAATTGTTGAAGGGTAGCTCTATACAAATCAACCACTTTTTCTAACTCACATGCAAGTGGTATACTTCATCTGTTTAGGTTTAGGTTTTCAAGTTTTTGTTTTGGGGTAAATATAACTATATTGCTGTAACAGCAAAGACAAATGTTGTATGAGGAAATGGTTATATTGTGAGGGAAAATTTAAAAACACCAGTGTTGTTTTGTTATAAAGACTGATTGTTTTGTAAAGAGTGAGGAGATTAACTGGCAATTCACTTCTGAATTGATACAGGTTGGTAGGGGTGGGTGCTCAGTTGGCAGCCTGCCAAAAAGAAGCAAGGCTGATACAGTCTCAAAAGAGGTGGCTACATGCTTGTGAAGTTTCCCATTATGATACTTAACAGCAGAATCTTGCTTTTAATTGTACCAGGAGAATTGAAAAGGATTGGATAGTAATAGGCCCTTTAGTGGGCGTTTTACTCAGAATCATTGGTCCTTAGTCATAGAGCAATAAGGGTTTGGAATTTCAGTGAAAATCTGATGGTTTTTGATAAGAGAGAATGTAATGGGAGGACAGTCAAAAGGAGAAGGGACTGAAGATTGTAAGAAAAGGCAGAAGGCAAGTTGAAAACCATTGAAGACAGGAGCTGAGACAGGAAGACTTTGGACACAGTTTTCCAGGATAGCTTGAGGCCACAGTGGCAGGATGACATTGATCTTTGGGAAGCAGGAAGATTTCCCAGAGGAGGCAACTGTGATATCTTTGAAACCATGTACTGGTCTTCAAGCACCCGACTAGAAGGAAGACTTCAGAGAAAAGCCGGAGGAAGTCCATCAGACTGACATTAGTGATTTCATGTGGTGGAGTTCAATTAAATGGATTAGGATTAGGAAAAACTGGTAAAAAATATTTAAACTGTATTGAGGGTTTATATCCAATTAAACATGGAGTTTTATAAATAAAAGGTAGGATCATACACCTAGAAGTAAAACGAAAGGTGCGTAAGTGGACAAAATTCCCCACATATCTTAATAGTGGCAGTCCTCCACAGAGACAAAAAATCATAATGAAAGCCTTCATGCCATTGGATCTGAAATACAAAAAGTGAAATTAATAAGCAAAATAATTGCAAAATTAAATCATATAAAATGAAGATGATTTCAACCTTCAGTGAAGGTGTTGAATTTATTAAGTCTGTCCAAACTGATACACCAAAGTATTTTTAAATTTACCTATCTTAAGTAATGGGGCTACCCTTTAAATTAAATTAATGTAATGTCATAGTATAACTTACCGGTAACTTTTTATTTATTCTGATGTTTGTTTTTTCTAGATTAATAAAGAATATGAAAGCTAGTAATGGTAATTAATTTATAGAAATCATTTTTCTAACACCCTTGCATGTCATCTGCTGTATTGTACCTAGTGACTTGTGTCTTCAAATGCCGAAAAGATACAAAAGCTTTGAACATTAACATCCAAGAGTCTAGCAATTACCATCTAAGTCTTTCAGTTGAGTCTGAGCTCTGAGCAAGATTTTTAAAAGATGGGGGGTGGGGGGGGGAGAGAAGCTACATCTAAGACGTTTGTAGTCAAAGATTGTTTTCATTATCCAATGTTTTCTTCACTTTGTAACGAAAAGGCAAAGGAAAATATTATAGATGAGGACAACAAAGACAATAACATTTTAATGTTTTGAGTCCATAAATATGCACATAATATCCTCATTTTGTCAGCAGGTGTGGGTGGTGCAGGAGAACTGAGAATGGTCTTTCCTTTCTGCTTCTGCCTTTTAGTTGGGCTGTTATGATTTTGCAGTGATTTATATTCTAATTTTTTACTGATATTATGTATATATTCTGTTTAGTTGTTGTTTTTACTGTTAACTTGGGGTTTTAGTATATATGTTTTCTCTGTCCTGTAAACCTAAAGTGTAGGGTATATTATAAATGCATTAACTATATCCAGTCTATATCTCTGCTTATGCAGATATTCCCTTGTACCTCTTCACATGTCCATTATTTTATTTAATATGTCAAATTAAAGGTTGTGGTGGTGGTGGCTGCTGTAGTCATTGTTTTCTTACTTCCACCAAATGGTCCTAGGTCAGGTTAGAAGAATATACAAATGTATCAAAGGTCACAGTGAAGTGGTATGTCTTCAGCATATAATGAAAGACATATCATGATGGTGCCAGTTACATCTTCTACAACTTAGAGAAGGCCCTTTCCTGAGCTGCCACTTTCCAAACCTCTAGAGAGCCCCTGCTGTCTTAATATCCAGGTGATTCTGTAGGAAAGGATGCAGTCTTTCAGAAATATGGGTTTAAATCATTTTGCACGTTAAACAATGGGATGAGCATCTTGAACCAGATGCAGAAACAAACTGGCAGCCAGTGCACTGTTTTGGAATAGTTGTTATGTGAGTTCTAAATAGAACCCCAGCCAGCAATCTGGCGGCTGCCTTTGTACCAGTAGATGTTTCCAAGTCATCTTCATGGGAATGCAACTCTTTCTAGATCAGCCCACCTCCCCACCTTTCAAAACCAATAACACATAACTCCTCTGTCTTATCAGAATTCACCTTCAATTAACTGGCTGACATTCCACCCATCACTGCTTCTGGGGATGCTGGAAACACAGGTCTTTAAAACACATGGAGAGCACAATTGCCCTCCACCTGTCAGAGGGCAATGTGGATGACAACAAGGAGGAGGAGAGCTAGCATGCTCATCCCTGTCGTACTTCTTGTTTTAAAAATTGCCTTCTGTTGCATTATGGTTTTATATCAGTAACAGAAGCATTGTGGATTATTATTATTTATGTAAGACAAAAATATTCTCAGTTCCTCATTCCCACAACTGCAGTTATTCTGAAGCAGATTTATTTGTAAACATTTCAATATATTCATTGACTACATAAATATGCCCTTTTTAACTAGTGATTTTTAGCAACAAGTGAGCAATGGTTGTTTGACTGATTCATGTGCCTGCAACCAGTACTTTCTCCAGACAAATTCCGTATTTGAGTCCTAAATAGTCTTAATGAAGAAGGCCTTGTCCCCAGATCACACTTTACACCTTTAAAATAATACTGTTATAAAGTTATCTGGCTATGTAATGGGAGGAAATCATGAGATGGTTCATTATTTTCTAGATGTCAGAGATGGTGGGTGGAATCCAATCTTGTTGTCTTACATCCCTTCAGCTTGCCATATGGAACGACCCTCAATGTCCTTCGCCCATGCACTGTTCTAGGGGTTCTCCTGACCCCCCCAAGAAGCAATTTTGGGGGTATATAAGGGGAAGGGGGGAACCCATTGTGCAAAAGGAAGTCCTTGCACAGGGTTTATTCTGACAGGGCTGGTTAAGTGAATCCCGCTCTACACTTTAACTGACTTAGAAGAATTTTATGGCCTTTTTTGCTCCAATATGACAGCCAAATTAAACTACAGCACATCTGTGTATCTGAACCGAAATATTTCCCAATCGCATAAAGAATAGGGTCTGAGGATCTGCTGATAGGGGGAAAGGTTCAGCACCATTACTGGTATTCCACATTTGCTCTTGAAATCCAATTCAACCTCTCTTCCCACTTTCTATGTGAATTGCAGATACAGTTAAACATGTGCATTTTAGTACAGTGGTACCTCGCAAGACGAATGCCTCGCAAGACAAAAAACTTGCTAGACGAAAGGGTTTTTTGTTTTTTGAGCTGCTTCGCAAGACGATTTTCCCTATGGGCTTGCTTCACAAGATGGAAATGTCTTGCAAGTTTGTTTCCTTTTTCTTAACACCGTTAATACAGTTGCGACTTGACTTCGAGGAGCAACTCATAGTGGTAGCCTTTTTTGAGGTTTTTAAAGACTTTGGTGATTTTTGAAGCTTTTCCAAAACTTTCCCGACACCGTGCTTCGCAAGATGAAAAAAAATCGCAAGACGACAAAACTCGCGGAACAAATTAATTTCGTCTTGCGAGGCACCACTGTAGCTTAATAAAGCTTCCGTTGGTTTAGTAACAACAAAAATTATTTGCTGTTCAAATATTTGTTTGTTATTAATGATCAAATACTAATTTTCTGCTAAAATTGAATAGGGATGTAGACTATTCCCACCTTCACTGTTTCGAGAAATTTGCTTGACTTTATATCTCAACTCATTTAAGTTTTCTTCTAAATTGCTTTATAAAATCAGTATCCTGAAAATTCACCTTGATTCTTTTTTACCTGCCATGTAGAGTAAGTGTAGGACCTAATATTTTAATAATTGTATCAGAACTAGTTTACCTTTCTTCCAAAAACATCAGTATAAAACCAAAGGCCTTGGATAATTCTGCTAAAGCTGAAATATTGTGACCAAATTTGGTATTGACTCTAACTTTAGATACGGGGCAATCATGTTTAGGTTATCAGTATGGATTTAAGTAGTCAGAACAATATAACTATTCTTCATGCACATTCCCATATCAGTTTTCTGAAAGTGCCCTTTAAAAAATTACAAATAGATATGTTCCTTATTTGCAAGATAAAACCCCCCACTAACGTTGTTCAAAACAATCAGTGAACAGTGGCCTCTGTGCGAATTTGATTGTTAGCTTGCTGGGTTCAGATTCAGAATGATAACTGTTCACGTTAGTGTAGACAGGAAATGTTTCAGAGGGTTTGATATACAGTATTATGTATCCTTTTGATGAGCTCTATACCAACGCTTATTTTTTCGGAGACAATGAACACAATGTAACTTTAGGCTACTATGCTGTTACAGACAGTTGAAATCTGGTACAAAGAGAAGGGGTAGAATTCCTTATCACATTGACAAGGCAAATGGAAAGAACATTTAACAGAGTCATATAACACTGTATTGTCATACTTGTGCATAATATTAACATAAAATAGTTATGGCTTTATCTCAAAATGGAAATACAAAGAGAAGGGGTAGAATTGGCAACTCTAGCCAAAAGTGGGCTTCAACATTCTAAAATATATTAACATGACCAAGTAAAGCAAGAAAAAACTAAGAATACTGAACCAAGAACAGCTATGGAACAGACTTGAAAGAAACCACAGTCAGAATGTAATCTTCAGAAGTAAAAAGATTTGCATACTTCCCTTGTCTCCTCAAGGTATTTTCACATTATGCTAGAAATGTACATGTACATCTAAATTTAACAGGTGTCTCATTTTCTACACAGATGGTGGTGATCATAAGGTAACATGTAAACATATAAAGCTAGTTGCCACAGGCTCTAGTCAAGTACAGCTAAAAGGAGATGATCTGAAGAAGAGAACCGTCAACATGGCATGCAATCCGGCCTAATAGCATAAAATGTAAATAATATTCATTATTATTCCTAATATTAAAAATGGAAATTACAGCATTTACATATTGCTGCAAGGGCTATTGGAATTTCCCCTCCCACAGTTAAGCATTTATTACCAGCTGGGTCACAGAAATGATATATTTCTCACTGTGGGAGGTTGAGGTTCCAATAGTCCTGAAGGAGGCTACAATAAAACCTGTCCTGAAAAAGAAAAAAAATGACTTGATCTGGTTGGTTATATAACAATCACCCAGTATCAAATTTGCCTTTTCTGGGTAAGGCGATAAAGCGTGAAGTGGAAAAACAGCTCCATGTTCTTGGCTGAAACTAATTACCGTATTTTTCAGTGTATAAGACTAGGTTTTCCCCCCTAAAAAATAATATCAAAAATTAGGGGGCGTCTTATATATTGATACATCTCCCCCCCATTTTCTTAAATCTGAGCCCCCCCAAATAGGGGGTGTCTTATACATGGGGGCATCTTATAGACGGAAGAATATGGCATTTCCATCTTGGTTCAGAACAGAAACTGCTTTGATCACCCTGGGGATAACTTTTGCCAGAGAAAAAGAATGAAACCATGTTGATCTTCCTAGATCTCTTAGTGGCTTTCATACAATCTACTTTGAACCATCTCTGTGGGACAGGATTGGGATATGTGTATATACATATGTGTATATGTGTATATGTTTTGAAACAGCTCAAGTCCTACTTGGAGATAGGTCCTCGTGAGTGGAGCTGGAAGACTGTTGCTTCACCCAGTAGCTATTGGTTTATTAAGTGGTGCATTTACAGTGGTACCTCAGCTTAAGAACTTATTTCGTTCTGGAGGTCCATTCTTAACCTGAAACTGTTCTTAACCTGAGGTACCACTGTAGCTAATGGGGCCTCCCTCTGCTGCTGCACCGCCGGAGCATGATTTCTGTTCTCATCCTGAAGCAAAGTTCTTAACCCGAGGTACTATTTCTGGGTTAGCGGAGTCTGTAACCTGAAGCGTCTGTAACCCGAGGTACCACTGTACTTGAAACTACTGGAAGAGATCATCAAGAGATTTGGGCTGGGATATTATCTGTATGTGTATTATACTCAGAAATATCTTGCATTTCCACCTTTTGATCCCAGGCATTCTATGGACATTTTGAATCGGTGTTTGATAGCAATGTTGAATTGGCTTAGGGTAAGCAAGCTGTAGCTTAATGCAAACAAGATAGAAGGGCTATTGATTGAGGGAACTGTTGTACTCAGCCTGATTTGAATGGGGTTGCAGGTCTCTTGAAGCAAAAGGTTCACAGTGGAAGTACTATCGATGCTCTGGTGATGGCAGTGGTTAGGAGTGTGTGTGTGTGCTTAAAAACAACTCTAATATGCCAACTGTGCCCTTTCCGAGAAAGATCAGACCTGGTCTGTCATTCATGCTCTTATCGCCTCTAAGATAGATTTAGGGCTGCTTTAGGAATTTGAATTGCATGAATTACTTGTCAAAACTATGCAGTCCATTCCCTGCTTACTGAGGCTTACCGATCAAAATTTTGTTGTCTGCTTGCTTTTGCAATTCTCTGAATGCAGTAACCGTTCTCATCTCTTGTAAAAATATGGGTTTTCAATCTTTTTTTTAAAAAAATATTGAAATATATATGCTTGTGTCTCTCTTACATATAAAACCATGCTTATTTAGATGTAAGAGTATATCCTTTCTCTTCTCATCTGGACAACCAGTTCAGTTAGGAAGGGAATAATTTCACCACTAACATGTTTGGACAAAGCAACATAGGCTTTCAAATGCAAAGTGATGTTTCTTTGAGGAGACAAAAAGCAGAAAGGAAAAGGTGATGTACTGATGAGTCCCGTGGACTGTGCTGCAGTATGGGGGGAAAAGCCAAATAAAATAAAAAATAAACATCAAAAGAGAAAAACCAGACAGCATGCATAGGTTGAGGGGCAGGTAGGTAAGGAGGAATATGGATACAAAAGGTACCGTTGTGATAGGTACAGAGCATAATGATGGGAAAACACTTGCAGAGACAAAGCAGCAGGATGCAGTCCGAACTGCATTCTCAGTACCTAGAGAGAAGTCCTGTGGGATGCTTAAGAAGATTAAGAGTGAAAGGGAAATGGAATACGGTCACTCAGTTATGCATATATATGTGAATGCATGCAAAACAAGATGAAAAACCCCCACAAAAACTTTAAACACAATATTACACAAAACAACTCTGTGAGAAAACAGAAAAGTACACAAGAAGCCAACTTATACAAAAATCAAACTGAAGGGTCCAACTAGCTTTGTATTCCTATATTGACTCACAGTGGCTTTTTGTGGTTTCAGGCAGAGCTTTCCCAGCCCTCCCTGCAGTGCCAAGAACTGAACATGGGACCTCTTTCAAGCAAACCATGAGCTCACATTACAAGTCAACAGAATGTTGGGTAAACATATGAGAAAATGAACTAGACTCAAAGGAAACTGATTCACCCACCCCAGTTATGCACTTTGCTATGAGTTTTGTAAGGTCTGGTTCCCTGGTTCCCTGCTTCTCTGCTGGCCCATTCCAATGACAGTGGTGGTCTTGTTTAGGGGACAGCTTTGAATAAGACTTTGCCCAATATGTCTTATTAAAAACATAAAGGTGTGCAAATGCATCCCTGCTTCCTCTCTTTTGTCCCAAGATGTTTCAGAGGATCCCCATACCACCCTACTACTACCCCTACTACCAGCAGATTTTGGGAGTCCCAAGGAGAAAGGAGAAGAAGGTGGAGCTGTGTTCCCTTCTGCTCTCTAATGGACACTATTGGATTTTAGCCATCATTTTTGCCACTATTTGTCCTTGTCCACTGTTTTTCATTGCTAATAATAATAATAGTAGTTAATACTTGTATAGTATTTTCAGGTGATCAAAATGTGTCACACATATTATCTAGTTGAAATCCTAGATGGCGGGGTGTGTGTGTGTGTGTGAGGCTGCGACAGAGGTCTCATCCACACTTCTGCTTCTGCTGTGCCAAGAAAGCACGAGTCTAAGTGGTTTTCTGCTTGATCTGCACTTTCTAGGCCCCACTCCTTTCCAAGGGAAAAACTGCTCTTTAGAGATAGTTTGGAACAAATGGCAATCTAAGGAAAACCTAAATTGCCATTTGCACCGACTGAACGCTAAAGAGCAGTTTTCTCCTGTTGGAAACAGTGGGACAAGAGGAAGTATGGGCAAGCCCAGAGTGACGTCATGGCAGAGGTGACATTTAAACTTGACACTTCCTGATTTGAAATATGGTTTGTTTCATTTCATTTTTTTAAAGAAAAAAAGGTGCCAGTACCTTGAGTAGCCCTATAAAAAAGCACTGGTTTGTTTAATCTTAGTGTTATATTGAATTAACATTATATGTTTTGATTGGCCTGTTGATATGCTGTTCCTATGACTATTTAAATGTTGTCGATTTGTCTTGTAATTGTTAATAAGTTTTCTTTAAATGTTTTATTTTATTCAGTTGTTCTAGTCTGATGCATGAACTACTTTGGACATTGTTTCCCATGGAAAAGTGACATACAGATCAACTGATGATGCCATCAACATTATTGTCAACCACCACAACAACACTGGGCTACTTTCAAAAATGGGAAATTGCAATTGGTCCAGAATACAGCTGCTAGGATTCAGGTAGGAGTTGTGAATGGAGACTACGTTATGTCATTGATCAGCTTCAGTCTTCATTAACAAATGCCTGGCTATTTTCTTGCCTTCAGGCATTAAAAATAACCACAGGCAGACCTTTTAACATTACTACTAAAACCACAACTTGCCATCCTGTATCTGTCCCCTTATTATGAGCTAGATTGTAGCTGGGTTATTGAAGAATCCTGCTGTGCTAAAACTTTTCTTCACCAGCAGCTTTACAACTGCCTGTGAACAAGACCTTCAAACACTGAATTGCATCCATCCATCTTGCTTTGGTGTTGTCGCCAAATACAGTTGACAGAGGGTGGGTCAAGGAGACTGCTGGGTTTGATCTCCAGAATTTGGGCGATGCACACTCTGAATCTGATTTCTGTAATGCAGGGACTTACAAATTTGAGAGATATGGGAATTTATAAGCAGTACAAAGGGAAGCTTGTCCAACACTACTCATCATGGGTATCAGGCAACTGCAGGATTATGTTTCTTACTTATGATGAATGGAGCTGAAAGCTGCCAGAAAGTAACTTTCATTTTGGATACCAAACTCGCCTACAGTTGCATACATCCATCATTACATTTAAAGTTGGCTATTTTCAAGATGTCTGCATAATTTAAATTATATAGTTGTTATTCCATGGAATTTATTCTTGGTGATGTTTGCCAGCGGTCTGCTAAAATGGAAGCTCTGGGAATTTAAAATCTTTCTTTCCCAAGTGTTAAAATGTAGTCATTTGTAATTTGCATCGCACATTTGTATCACAATGTGCTGCAGTCATACCACAAGCCAAAAAAACTATTTCAAATTAGATAAATATTCCTAATACAGTGGTACCTCGGGTTACATACGCCTCAGGTTACAGACTTCGCTCACCCAGAAACAGTACCTCGGGTTAAGAACTTTGCTTCAGGATGAGAACAGAAATCGCGCGGTGGTGGCGCGGCGGCAGTGGGAGGCCCCATTAGCTAAAGTGGTACCTCAGGTTAAGAACAGTTTCAGGTTAAGAACGACGTCCGGAACGAATTAAATACTTAACCCAAGGTACCACTGTATTATGCAATATTGTGTATAATATTGGCTTAATGGATAGATAAAGTATTTCAGATCTTGTCTTGCAAATGGCATTTTCACTTCGCATTTCAATCTGGTTTACAGTTAATTTTGCTTCCCTGCCCCCCATCACTGCAGATTACAAATAGAATGGTATGTTTCTCTTCTCCTGTCCATTATGTGTTCCCTATCTGGGAATGCTAAAAACATTTGATTGTGGCACTAACAAGAGCCAATGCAAAAGTTATGTAAAAAGCAGAGCCAGTGGGGCTGCAAATAACTTTTCCATTCATTTTTTAAACATTTGATGCAATATCTGAGTGGGGAATCTTTATACCCCATAGCGATATATTGGAGCACTATGGAAGAGATACGTAGGAGATATGTAAGTGTTTAGGGCTGTTTGGGATTGGATAAGGGTATAAAAACTGAATCTTAATCAGGACCAGACAGGGGTGTAGTTCCTTGAGGACCTGGTGATACAGGGAAACTCCCACTGAAGAAGCAAGTTTGCAGCTTAAGGGGGCTCCTGGGTCCAGCACTTCTACTGGATGTTCAGGTGTGATTGGTGACCCAGAGTGCCATTTAATCACCTTAACTGCTATGGCAGCTGCATTCTTACCTTGAAAAGCCAAACCCAGCATCTAGTTACTTCCAGGTTAGATTACTATAATACACTCCATTTGGCTGTCTTTGAAGAAAGCATGGGAATTTCAGTTTGATCCAGAATGTGGTTGCCAGAGTTATGGCAAAGACCAGAAGATTGGATCATATTACTATGATCTTTAACCCCCTGTACTGGTTATGAGTTTATTTCAGAGCTCAGTTCAAATTTCTGGCTTTGCTCTATGCTTTATTTTTACTTGGTTGCATCTTAAGCTAATTGCCTTTGGAAACATCATCTCTAGCAAACATACCTAGAACTCCTCTCGGTTATGGATACCTTCCTCTTACTGGCTGAGATTCAGCATGGTTACCTTCTCAGTTGTGATGCCAGATTGTGGAACAGCTTGCCTAAGGAGAAGCACTACTTGACTCTGTCGCTACCCACATTTTGGCAGGTGGCGAAGATTATTTTATTCCAGGGAGTCTTGTCCTAATTTGGCCTTTCCATTATGTTTTAACAGCTGCTTTTACTGTTTTATTGTTGCATAGCATTTGTAATTTTTATTTTATGAATTGTAGCTGTTTTATTTTGAGTCACCTTAAATACGCTTTGATGTAGAAAGGCAGGAGAGAAAGCTACTGAAATAAATCAATAATATATAAATTCATGATCCACAGGCCACACGGCAGAAACACATTTGGAAACAATGCTAAACATCACACTAGAATCTATTTATGGCAGTGCCTCGCTCTTGGACTACTTCACATCTTCATTTGGTTTGGCTTGTCCCTCGATATAAACTCTTGACAGTTTTTCTTTCTATGCACTCTCTCTTACAATTTCTGCTTCAGTTTTCACCACATGAGTATTCTGTCTGAATCCTTCTATGGATTAAAAATTACAGCACTGAATGAAATCCTAAGGATATTAAAAAAGGTTTTTGACTAATCCTTTGATGCCCCTTTTTATATCATTTAAATTAACCCAGGAATCAATCGGACTACCTGTCCATTTCCAAAGGCATATTCTCATCTCACTTTTAGATCAGTAAAGGCTCTGCTGATCAGCAGAGGCACAAAACACGTTCCTGTAGGAATTACACACACAGGATATTATGATACTTAAAGTTTCATTGCATGTTGATGGGAATACATTTAAGAGCAAACATAATTCTGATACAATCACACCAAGATGACAAACTCAATTTAACAGTGTTTGCCAACATAATCCTCAAGATGCTCGGCTCCCCATCAGTGCTTGTTGTTGCATGGCTACAATCACTGAATGTGAATTTTAAATTAAAAGCCAGAGAACAAAATTATGACTAAAAGTTTACAGAAATGGAGATTTGGTATCTTTGATTCCAACACCAGTATAAATTACACAACCATACATTGTATTCAGATGTGCACTTTTCTTCTGGAATTCAAGAATTTCAAAAAGCTTAAGGAGCTGGTGGGTGAGATTCCATCATTAGAAATAAGAGAAGGGAGTCCAAGTTGGATGGGAGTTTCTTGAGGGTGAAATATTGAAAGCACAAATGCAGACAATTCCAACAAGAAATAAAAGTGGGAGGCATCTAAAGAAACTGGTGTGGCTGCATAAGGAGCTGACAGATGAGCTGAGATTTAACGGCATGTATAAGAAATGGAAGAAAAAGGAAATCACAAAGGAGGAGTATATACAACTAGCAAACAGCTGCAGGAAGAAGGTCAGGTGGGCCAAAGCTCAGAATGAACTCAGGCTTGCAAGGCAGGTTAAATACAATTTTAAAAAGTTTTTTGGGCTAAGTTTGAAGGAGAAGGAAGAAAAAAAAGCAAGTAGTAGGTCCTGAGTGCAGATAAATGCTATTAGGTGATAGGCAGAAGGCAGAATTGCTCAATACCTACTTTGTCTCTGTAGGAAAGCAGTGCCCAACCTGGTGACAACAAAAGAAATGATGCAAGGAGGGGGGCTGCAGCCCAAGATAGGAAAAGAGATGGTAAGGAAGGGCCACTTTAAATAAATTCAAATCTCTGGGCCTGATGAGCTGCACCCAGGTGTACTAAAGATGCTTATCAGATGAAACACTTGCCTCTCTCCTCCTTCCTATGTTGTTCTTTGGGTTCTCCCAACTCCCACTCAGCCAATTTGGGAGGTGGAGATGGGCACACACTGGGAAGAGATAGTAGAAAGCCCCATTGCACTAGCAGGATGATGAGTAGTGCTGGCTCCTGCTACTATAGATGATTATTTTAATCCAATCCATAGACACCAAATATGATCTTTTGTTTTTATCCCACTGTTTGAGGCCGAAGAAATCTAAATGGCCACATTGTTGCCAACTCCTATCAAGGCATCTATGATCACTAATTGACACACACCTATTACTTAAAAAGCTCTATTAATAATACCATATATTTGTCAGGTTGACTCAACAGGGCATGTAGAGGAGCATATATAATAGCTTTTTGTAACTGCTGGACTCACTTTGCCATGCTTTGCCATTTTTGAATGTTTTACAACACTAGATTTTATCTAGTTAAAGTATGTGTCTGAGCTTAAGTTAGTCATTTTGATTCCAGAAAAGGGGGAGTTGTATCAAAAGCTTAGTGGGGGGGGGGCGCTCCTCTAAAACAGTATTTCTTTCTTGTCAGGAAGTCATGGTAAAGGATGAACAAATTGTTTATCAGGTAAAATAAAATATCATACACACTTTTACGCCTTCTGATTAAGAATCCACAATGTCAGAGAAAATCCTTGCTCTTCCTACAATGACAGCATACAGTATTTGTGGGACGATGCTGTCTTCAAGCAACTGGTATATTTTACTATCAATTGCCCATTTCTTCGGATTGGACTAATGGAATATATAGTGAAATGCATACAATATATTAATTAGGAACATAGAAAGCTGCACTATACCAAGTCAGCCTAGTGATGTATTTAACTCAGTATTGTCTACACTTACTGGCAGTGTCTCTCTGGCATATCAGATAGGAGTATCTCCAACTTTCACCTCCTCTGCAGATGCCAGGAGTTGAACCACTGAATCACAGTTTCACCGCCCACTGGTGCAGGTTACCTGCATAACTACCAATAATAAGCTCATGGAGGCAGAAGGCATTTGCACCCAAATGTCCTCATTCAGTCACTGAGGAGTGCCTACATTATGCAAATGCAAACTTGTGTCTATTTTTGCCCCTCCCCGATAATGACAGAATTGCTGCTTGTGAACTGTACAAAAAATAGGATCAGTTCCTGATCCAAAGTATGATAGACGGAGAATAAACAAACACTTCATCATAGCTATTGTCTGCAG